GAGTCTGTTTAGGATTCTCTCTCTCCCTCTCCTTCTGCCCCACCCCTCCATCTCATTTGTGCACATGCTCTCTCACTCTCTCTTGCAAAAAAAATAAGTAAAATGTTTAAAAAATTGTCATTTTGTAATGTCAAAAAATCATCAAATGAGATAATAGACCTAGGGAATAATTATAAACAGATGTTAAAAGCTTTAGGCAAAATGTTGATATAACCTTATTTTGGAGGGAATCAGGTTACTAGCACATGAATCCACTCATAAACTTCAGCATCATCATAAATGAGACAACCAGAGATAATGTGTCTCATTAAGTACTATGACATACTATTGCCTTAAAAACAAACAAATAACAATAACAAAACTATCTGGATCTAATCTAGCCTAAGATCCAACTCCTAATTTACAGAAAATATGAAAAATAGAGGTATAAAATAAATAAAAAAATGAAAATAGCCAAGTCTAGAATATTGGACATTCAAGAAGACAAATATTGTGGTTTCTTCAACAAATCAGTGGCATTAAAGAAAAAGAGATTTGCTATAGAATAAAAGAAACTTAAGAGGCTTACAATCAAATGCAGTACAGATCTTGATCCAAACATATTATAAATAGGTATCTTGAAGACAATTAGGGACATTCTAATATGGACTTGGTATGAAATGATTTGAAGAAATAACTAATCCTATTAGCTGTAATAATAGCTTCCTGGTAATGCAAGAAAAAAAACCCCAACAAATAACAAACAAAAAAACGAAAGTTCTTGTCAGAGATGTATACTGAGATATTTGTAGGTAAAGTGTCACCTTATTTGAGGTTTCCTTTAAAATATCTCAAGTTACAAAAAAAAATGGGGGAAACAAAAGAGTGGCAAAATATTGGTAATTGTTGACTTTAGGTGATGGGTACACTGAGGTTCATTCTTCTATCTAGTTTTGTGTAATTCATGTGGTGAGTGATAAAAAAGGGGTAAGGAGTGAGAGTGGGAAAAACAGTCTTGATTCTAAGTAAAAAAAGTAGAGGCAGTTAGTACGGTAAGTACATAGTTAAATGCGACTTAACGTACAAGTGGGGTTCAGACAAACTGAGAGAGGAAATGTTAGAGATTGCCTAGAGTATAGAATTAGGGCAGATAGTGGAAAAGGTGAAGGTTAGAAAAGGCAGCAATGGTACTCAAACAAGATGCCTACAAGGGCACTCGCTATCTGGATCACCAATGTTTGGGAACTAGTGTAATAAATGATTGTTTATGTCTGGATAATTTCTCTTTGATCTACAAACTTCTCACATGCCAGTGCTTCATGCAAAGCATTCCACTGCAGCTAAAACTGTGACCTCCTTCTCATGGACATTACAGCCAGAGTTCTATCTCAACATGGTTTATTTTTAAAACCTTCTCTTACAAAACTAATTGCTACAATTTAAGAGACTTACAATGTCTTTAACCTCGCTTTATAAATATGAAAACAGAAAAAAAAATCTCTGATTTTTTGTGTTATCCTAGGAGGTACAGAGAAGGCAACGAAATGAAGACCTGCCTTGTCACCTTCAGCAGAGCAACTGCAGAAGCAATTTGTTACAAGCAGATGGATAGTTGAACGCTTAAAAGGATAATAAACTAGAACGAAATTAGATATTGAAATCAATTTCTTTTAGGCTTACCATGAACCTTCAGATTTACACGATTGTATTTGAAGAAGTCAGAAAAAAAAAAAAGGCATACTAAGATGGGTGCCCATGAAAACAGAACTTTACACATGCTATAGCCTTTATAGTCACCATTTACTTGGTTGGTTCAAATATTTATAGTTCATTGTTATGACTGCCAAAACTGGCAACCACAAGGATTGTTGTCTCAATTAGGACAGTAAACAGATTGTCTCTTTTTTTAATGAAAAAATCTAAAATGTAATACTTCACAGTTTAACATGTTTATTCATCTAAACGAGCTAAAAAATAATGGTGCGACATCTGTTCGAGAGGCATTGGTACCTCAAATTTTGGCTGCCTCCCCACCAATTTGGTTGTTGTTTTAAAAAATGAAGAATAGGAGGGGGTACTGTCATCAAAAAATCTTCTGGCATGTAAAGTATCTTATTTTTCTTGAAATAAGGATCTCATGTCTGTTGCTAAGGATAAAAAAATTATTTAAGAATGAGGCACTATGCTGAATAGGGCAGCAGTTCAATTGTTTTAAATGAATTTACCGGCCCACTATGGATATTTCCACACTGGTATAGTTCTTTGAGTGACTCTCCCAGTTCCCTTCATATTTACCTGCATTGCTAAAATACAAAATAAAATAGTAAGAATGTTTCTGTTGGCACTGAATTCATCTGCTAGGTTTTTTATTTTTTATTTTTTTTTTAGTGTGGGTTGCACTGATTCTAGATATGATGTCAGTGGAACAAAATCTAGCAAACACCATTCTATCCAGGCTGCATTGGAGCAATTCTAATAAAAGAAGGCAGTGCCGCTAAGGGAGAAATGGTAGAAATCTCCCCAGAGAAGTCCAAGGTAAGTGTACCTATCTTAGATAGTCTCTGGCTCAGCAACCTTACATTATAGATGGAATATATGAAAATTCTCTAAGTTTAATTTCTAGAAGTTTTATTTCTGAAGCCCATCTAAATAAATCATAATTTACTGAATTATCATTGACTGTATCATTTTAGAATCCGGAAAATACAGTGCTTTAGTATTCACATAAATATAAGCATTATAATGAAAATTTAGTTTTATTTTTGTTGGGAGTGAGGATATACAATAAGTTAAATTAAAAACACTGAGGGTGGTTTTCAACAATACTAAGATAAAAATAACATACTTGATTTTCTAGAAAAGAGCAATCAATGTTTCTGTTCTACAACAAATTTAACACTAGTTGTTTTGACCTTAAACAGGAACAGGATGAAACATTTATCTGTCCCAGAACATTCAATGATCATAAATGTTAAATGCTGAATTAATCAATATAGTGATTTCTAAGTTTTATTTATTAAATGCAAGTAATTTTTGATAATCTCTTACATGCAGCAACTGTACCAGACTCTGAGAGCACTAAAAGAAATTAACTTAAATTTTGACAAGCATTTATTAAATATGTGCAGATCACTACACTACTGGAATTACAGAAATGAATAAGAACATATTTTCAGGATCTTGCAATCATTGGTTGGGGTAGAAGTATTTTAGAAAAATTGAAAAGATGGAAAATCTTCAGGTATTTGCTGCCTTAAAACAACAAACTCTATACTGTACTATGATAGGCTTTTTGTTCATTTGTTTTAAAAGAAATCCTGGATGAGGTTATATTTTTACAATATCTCCTCTCAGATGAATCTATAAATGTTTATTTTGCATGCAAAATAAGAACAAGCAACTCTTCAAGCTTCATTCACAGTATTCCATAGGCTATATGTAAAGTCTGCTGCATTAGCTAAAATTTATCCTGCAGAGTATGTTAGCAAATAGATTCTAACATTCTGAAAAGTCATTATAATTTTTCTGTTTTTGTCTTCTGAATTACTCTGAGCAGTGAATTATTGGAGGAGAAAAACCCACGCCTAAAATTTGTGTCTGGTGCCAGTCTTAGATTTATGCCAAACACCACTCACTATTCAGAAGTGTGGTCTGCTGAAAATGTAGGCCAGATATCACCTTTCTATCTTCAAAGATTCAAACCAGATTTCAATCTGGGATTTCTCTACAGGCTGCTTCCCAGTTAATGTGAGTTTGAAAAATTTGCATTTCATGAAAACAGTGTTGTATAAACATATATTGTCTCAGTTTACCTGCTATTTATTAAAATCAGAGTAGAGCCTTTGGGACTTATGGTTCTCTGGAGCCATCATAAGTCAATTACACAAATGGACTAGCCAGAGACTCAGGATATCAATAAAATGAGGTAACCAAACTAGCCGATAATTATACTATGTATAGATTAATAGTTATTACTATCAGAAGCAACCTTTTTCCCTCAAGAGAACACCTCAAGAACAGAAGGGAAGAGTAACATTTTTTTTCAAGGTAATGAATTTTCAGACATTTCCAAGAGTATACTCATCTATTTTAAATACTGTAAATTCTGTTATATTTCACTTGGATAGGTATCTAATAAATAATTATTACATATCTTCTCATTTAAATTACTACTGAAATTAGAAATAATCTTTATTTAATATGACTTCTTAACACCATATGGGAGGTAAAATAACTAAATGAAAATTGTTCACGTAAATGTGATAGGAGTGGGGGAAAAGCAGTATTTCTTGACATGTGGCATGTCACTCAGGAAAGGAAAAGGCCCATCATATCCAAAATGCCAGCTTGGATATTCCCTTGCCACCCACTTCACGAACAGACATACCACATGGCATTAAATGCTGCAACCTTTCCTAAAAATGCCACTTGGATTGGTCTGCTGTGGTGAGTGTATAAGAACTCTTGGTCTGTCTCATGAGTTTGTGATTTCAAGGGGTAGAATCCAGTAAATAACACTGGCTAAATTTTGCCCTCAGATGTTTGGCATAAATGATCTGTGAAGATACTGGAACTTTGGGCTGTTTTCACACTGATGAAATAAATTATGCTACTTGAAAAAATTCTACAGAACATAATGCTACACAGTCATATTCAACTATTTGCAAAAGTCTCAAAGAATATCGAGTGTATTCATCAAAGCTTTCTTCTCTGGGCAAATATGGAAACAATCTTAACATTTTATTTGCTCTTCATAAATACAATGTATATGATATAAAACACTTTGTGCACATGTTTCTATTAATTTTTTATACATCTTTATATAAGGTAGTAACTAACAACTCTGCTGTGGACACATATTTTCTCCTTTTCTAAGCTTTATGTGTTCATGTGTTCTAAAAATATTTTTTAAAAATCCATTACTGGTAAAAATATTGAATACATTGATTGTTATACTCCAACAAATTCACAATATCTTGAAAATTTATGTAAATGAAAAAATTACATATGCGAGTAATATGAGACATATATTTTCTATTATTTATTTTTCACAAAACAGTTCTGATTAACTCTCAGGAGACAAAATGTAATTTTGTAAACCAACTTTGTATTGTTTAGGTTTAAGAGACAACCCAAGAAAATTATTCTGAGTAGGTAGGACTTCTGTTACTGTTGTGTGAGAAAAAAAAACACAAAACTGCACAACTAAATGACAGATTGTTGCATATCTCCCGAACAAGAAGGGCAAACTGACACCGCAAGCAGCCAGAACAACATAATTAAAATAGAATTCCAAGTTTATATTAATACAATAATAAGTTAATTAAAATCAAGATCAACTGAACTTTCTATTTACACCAGTTCAGACAGCCCAAGAGGAAAGGAACTCTATTTTACAGACATATGTGACTCTTGAGCTTCTGTCATCCAGGTGCCATTTCTGATGGAGCACATGTGCACTGAACAGTTGGCAAAGAAGGAAAAAGATTACTGTAGATGTATGGCAGATAGTCTCTCTAATGATATAAAATATGTCTGGAAAGAAAGCAGGGCTTCTTTGTAAAATGAAAAATTTCCCATGACTTTTCCTTGCTTCTTAGGCTCTGAATGTGATTTGAGAATGTTCCTGTAAATGAGGATATATACTTCTACTTACGACGTATATGGAACAAAAATAGATTTAGTAATCTGTAAGTGATGGAGTTATACACATAAATTGGCTAAGACACCAGAAGAATTTAGGATCTGTTTTCCATTTAATCTAAACGCACCATGAATAGGTTGCCTGTCAAAGTAGAAAGATTTATAAAAGTATCCGGTAGCATACATTATACTCCATTGCTAGGTAAGGTTCTTTTCTTGATATCCAATGCAACTATTTAAAAAGATATTTCTGAAAACTGAAAATACCAGCAGAAAGAATTCAAGATGTTCCAGTTTCAGTACTTTAGAAAGTATTGGTCCCAAGGGGTGCTTTTGTAAAATTATTTCCCTTAAATGCATTGATTGCTGTTCAGCTAATCTTCATCTCCTTCCAGATCAGGGTCAACATCTGTGGACAGTCTGAGATAAAAGAAAGCATAGAAAGCCAGTAGGAGGGCCAATATAGCTGCAAGTACGAGGCCAACTTCCTGAGGAGGGGAAAAAAAAAAAGTAGGTTTGAAATTGATGAAAAGAGATTGGTTAATGTTATGAGTTTCATCAGAGAAAACAGCGATATAATTCCATCATCTAGAATAATAATTTGAACCTAATTAATCACATTCTTTTTGTTTAACACTTCTTGTCATTTAGTAAAATAACTTATTTTGCACTTGACAATACCGACTGCGATGACAAGTACATCAGTGGGTGACTCATTTCTATTATTATTTCTATGTAATTTGTGCTTTTCTAATAGTAAAATTAAACTTTATAATTTTGATATATTTGCATAGTTTGAATATCAAGATGTTGAGTGCAAGCAGTGTAGTTTGTGCCTACACAGTTTCTCTCTTCTCTATTTGAGTATGTTTAACTTTATTTGTTGCTTCAATTAATTTGTTATTAGTTTTAGCTTTAGGACACGATTTTAAAACATTTATCTTTCTTTTTCTAATGGGATGAAACTGTTATTAGAGCCAGTTTCTAAATTATGTCTCTGTAAATCTTTATTAAATATTGTTTTGTGGAAACTAAATTTAAACTCTAAATTCCATAGTTTATAATGTGGAGGAAAAAAACTGAGGACTCTTAGTTCATGAAGCAAGATACAGTATAATTTATCAGAACTGTGAAGGGTGATTCTGAATATTTCATTTGGTGATTTGATGTGGGTTATATTAATTATGTTAAAATAGTAGCCAAAATTTACTACATATATTATGGCAAAAGGCCATAAACTTCATATTTATATGAAGTATAGAGTGTGCAGTATACACACACACAGACTTACACACATACCATTAAGGAATATTCTCGATATTAACATAGCATTTGGCTAAAAAGATCAAAAAGAGCAACTAGTGCCAGTTCCATACCCTAAAGAGTCTAATATGCCTTTCTAATTTTCAATTGTGTATCACACCCATTCCCAGCATTGTTTTATGGAGAGGCAATTTATTTGCATTTACATGAATATATTTTACATTTCATCAGAATGTAAAATTACTAATTCAACCTATGCTACCTAAGAAACTTTAAAAACATTAAAATGAATTTGGTTTATAACCAACATGAAATTTTTACCTGGATGTTGAAATTACAAATGGGCACTTTATACAGATATTTAGCTTCAAATTTACATTTATTTAGATTTCCAAGCTATGAAAATAAATATTGATAAAAATCAGGGGGTTGATAGACTCTGTCAACTATCTTAATCTAATACATCAACATAATGTCAAATGAAAGTGAATTTTTCTTTGTTGCAGTTGGAATACTTCAGCATCTCAAAAGGGCATGGCGGCATCAGACAGGTTTCATTTATATTCCTATATCCACAGCTGTGCTCCCAGACCCATCTGGTTACACAGCTACTAATTTTAAGAGGATGTAATAAACAAGTGACACACAACTGCAAACTCCATCTGTTCTGTATAGTGGACAACAAAACTGTTTAACAGCAGTCACCATTCATACAAGCTTAAAGCAAGAATAAAGTTTTTACTCTTGATTGGAGGCCATCATCCACATCTCATTTGATAATCACCTCTAACTGCTGCTTTTCAACTGTTCCTTGTCCCTTCAAAAAACTCTCTATCATCTTCACTATACATTTTCAGGATATCCAGAGGCATGAAAATGGGTTTTAAGGGTAGGAAGCCAAGAACCTTCATAGAATACACCTTCAGAGGATCCATTAATTCAATTAAATCTACTGAAATTATGGTAGAGGGGGTAGGGCTAAAGAGTATTAAATGGGGAGGAATAGCATCATTTAAAAAAAAATGTCCCATACTGTTGTGGGGACTGAATGTATAGAGGGTGAAACAATGATAAAATTTGAAAATACTGCTTTCAGGATGCTGGTGACACTAACCATAACTTAGAGACCTGTAGGCATTTATGACCCCCCACCCCCTGGCCATTTTTAGTTTTACATCTGAAATCACAAAAAAAAAAAAGAAGAAAAATAACGTTTCCAGATGTCTCATCCCAAGAGGTTGTTCACAGGATCTCGTTGACACTTGAAGATTTTATTTATGTAACAGAGAAATTAAATTTTTGATACTTATTCTTTTATTAGATTACACCTTTCAAATAAACCTTTCAAATGAACTAATTAATTAACAAATACGAATTATCTTTTTTCTTCTAAATACTAGGAAACATGGGTATTTACATGCTAAAAAATTTTTAATGAAGTTGTAATTCTTAAAACATAATCTAACTGAACAGCAACCAAATAGGAAATCTTAGTTGTGCTAATATTTTTTAGGTAGCACTCGTTACTGGGTCATAAATTACAATATTTTGTTTACATTGGTAAGACACAGGAAATAAAATAGCTTCTAAACAGAAATTAATTCTAGATTTTGACACAGTAATATTCACATCTTATTCTGAATCATTACTGTTCTCCCAAAACATTTTCAATTACTAAACATACGTTTACAAAAAGGCGCTAAAAGTCTTTGAGCATAAAGACTGTATTGTATATTCTTTACATCTCCAGTCCTAGATCTCTCAGTCAATACTGTTGATTTGATTTTATATGGTAATGAAATCTGGAAGTTATTTCTTGTATAAATTCCTCCCAGATGATCCTGTCTTGGTCATCTTTCTTTCTATAGGTTCTACAACATTGTAATACTTACAGCATTTCTAAACAAAAAATGAAGGATTGAGTAAGATTTAGATAACATATATATGAAGTATATTAAAATCATGTAATACTTTGAAAGCTTTACAATAGCAATATCAGTATCTCCACAGCAAAACTAAGAACATTTTATAATATGCAATATAATAACACAATGCAGACTGAGTTCAAGTGGGGGATCTTAAGGCCACTGACAACCAACCAAGGAAGTCTTATTTGTACAAACCAGCAATGGCTAATTCAAAGAAATATTTTCTCAATCAGCTAACAATTCATAAATGAATTTGATTTCCTGGGTTCAATGTTAACTGTTTTCGTGGTATTATTTAACTCTTCTGACAACCCTGTGAGGTAATGGCATAATCACTTTTGCAAATATGTCAGCTTAGACTTAGCTAGATCATGACAACAGGAAGAGGCAAGAGGAATGTGATCCTAGGTCTCTTTCCTCCGTGTTCAGTGTTGTCATGGCTGGTATTTTTCTATTCCATGCAGCTGTTCATATTTTCTGTAGATTTAAATTATTTTAAGAGCATAACTATGATTCATTCTAAAAATAAGCAGTAAAGTGATAAAATACTATAATATTATGGTCATCCTGTATCAACTAGGTAAGAGTCAAACATGTTTGATGTTCATTAGTCCTTAGTTGCTTCTCTGACATTATCAATATGGATAAAATCACTCACTGGGGAAATTAAACAGCATTAAATGGCAATTGCTGAAAGAAACTTCGTTATTTAAAATCCTATGCTAAAATGACAAGGCAATCAAAGTTTGACAGAGCAAACTAATTAGTATGCCAGATTTGAAATGTAAAACACCTCCATGGTTCTGATTCTAAAAAGTTTCATATCATTTTAATGGGCTCTTCATATAATTTTTCAAGCAGAGTAACCAATGCTTAAAGTTAAGGTTTTTGTTTTCCACAGGTTTACAAATCAAAATTATATGCTAGTTTATTAAAAAGAAGCTATGTTCAGATGTCGTTAGAAATTCTTCTGTACATGCATTAAATCATAAATTAACAAAATTAAACATTAAAACATAAATTAACAAAAATCTTTTTTCTCAAAGATAAGCAAATTCTGCATTGTTTATAAAATGATATTAGATAATTGCATTATAAGGTAGATTTATCTGATACTAAGTCATTTCCTCAAATTAAAATAATAACAAAAATTATAAGAGCAAATGAAGAGAATATATATATATTAATAAATGAATGGCTGCACCATTTCTCAAATTCTAATTTATAGCTGTTCATTATATTGTGCCACAAGTGGATTTTGCCACCCCAATATCTTTCTTTAAACAAAAACCCAAAACCAAAACAGAGAGATAAAAGTGAGTGACATAGTGCCTTGGTGGAAAATTACAAATAATGCTCTCACTATAAGAGACAATCACCAGGTAACTAACTGCACAATAAAGAAAGGAAAAAAAAACCCTAACTAATGCTTTTAGAAATATCATGTCATGGAAATAATTTCAAAGATGAATAAAATTTCATGTGAAATTAGAAGAAAACTTCAAAAGATTAATCATCTCTCTTTTCAAAAAAAGGCAATTTACTTTTTTTTTTCATTAAAAACTGACACACAACACTAACTGAGGGGATTGTGTTGTGAAAACATACCGTATCACACGGCAATGCTTGATCAAAATCAGCAATCAAGAGTAAAAAGAAGGCAGTGTTTCGTGATCATAATAGCAAATTCTGGAAGACAACCAAATATATCATCTGGCAGTTCAACAGCTGTTACAGCCTAGTAGTAATACCTTGGCATTTGCTATAAGCTATAACTTAGAAAAATTGATTTTTCATCTGCCAGATAAAAACCAAAATCTCCTATTAACATTTTAATATTTAAATAAAGTACATATACTAGTCATTTTAATTTTACACATTTGAGAGTAGAACCATCAAGTTAATTTTTGTATTTATAGTTTGATTCACCTCTAAATACTTGGCAAAAAATTGACATGAGTAATAAGTAAACGTAATTTTGTTGAACTTCATTGTGCTAGCACATTGGATTAATATCTGCTAACATCATTCTCAGATGCATTTATCCCTCTTAAGCAGTTAAAACACTGGTTTTCTAAAAGAACAAGTTTGGGGACATCATTAGAATTTCAACATAGAGAGTATTGACAACAATAATAATACACAGAGTAAAATTACATATACTAATGATCTACGTATATATAAGTATAACTAAAATATCAATAACAATAAAATTAAATTTATTGAAAATAAAAGAAGTTTTTTATTCAGGCCACATAAATCATTGAAATATTTGAACAATATACACATTAGCTAGAGGAAAAAATAAATTGCAACTTTAAGTATAACTGGTTTTCTTATGTGACATTGTGTTTTATTTTAAGACCTGATCAGAATGATGTTTCCCATTAAGTAAATTCCTTATAAAAACCTTCAATTCTGGCATTGACTTTGATTTTGAAATGTCATAAAACACTTAGCATTCAACATTTATGCAATTCAGTTTTAGAAAATGAAATGGCATGCATATATCAAATTTTAAAGTTACCAAATACAGGTACCTTTATCCCTATTGCTGTTTTCTTTGCTTCTGCTTTTAATTTGGTTGCTCGTAAAATAGGTTTGGTTTTTTTATAATCTTGTTTACCTAGAAAGAAATAATTTCAGGCAATGAGCTATGCTTATATATAATTCAAGTTTAACAGCCATCTGAAATGTCAAAGAATGTTTAAATACAGTAAGACTGGAATACAGAGTTGCAAAGTAGCTCCCAGTTTTGGAAACCATAAACTTGTCACCCTAAGGTCAACATCTCCTCTCTTAATTTTCTGCAGGAAGAAGATCTGACAGACATCTTTGATTTGGTGTGCAGTGAAGAGCTAAAAAGATAAAAACTAATTTTAGAGAGTAAGATGTTTAAGGTAAAGACAGTAAACCTTTTGGAAGCATTTAGAAACAAATGGGTAAATGAGGATACATAAGATCCCATTAATAGGTAAGTTAACTTCATCTTCTTACATGAAGAATAAGAGCTCCTTATAAATTTATTTTATTAGGGATATATAAAATACCCAAATAATCAATCTGAGGAATATCCTCAAGTTTTCTGTAAGAAACTAGGAAGATCTGTAAATACTTAACTTTCAGTCACTGAATTCATTAGAAAAATACATATTTAACTTTGCTCTTAAGAGAGGACAGAATAAATATGGCTAAATAAAAGATGTAGGAAAGCTACATTTAGATATTAGTTCCAATCTTCTCTACCACATTTCACAGCCAAAGATGAACAAAACTAAGTTAGTTAACATCACCAAATTTCCTTTTTGGTGTACCATTTGATGACTAATGAGTAACAAACCTGAGTTTGCGTGTAACCTGTATGCAACCTAATGAGTTACATAACCTGTGAAGAAAATAGATTTAACATAAAAACAAAACAAGAGTAACAAAAACTTTGACTAGAATAATATACTCTTTTGTTAACCAAAAGAACTTTTAACTAAGAACTGGGTTAATGGGTCTCAAATACAGCATATCATTCTGTGTGGGAGTTAGCATAAAACCATGTAATCTCTCTTTCAGTTTGCCTTGTTTCTATCTTACTCCCTTTCCCTCATGATCGGTTCCTTTCCAAATCTTACCCCTGTATCTCCTTTATGTAAATAATACAACTTCTAACTTTAAGTTCCACATCTTCCTCACACTGAAATAAATCTGAACACAGTTGATCTATACTACAATGTATCATAAGAAGTTAATGTGCAATAAAATGTCTTTGTTAATGATTCAAAAGTGCCTTTAAAATCCATATAGATTTTTAGAATTAGAAATGGGAGGGAGAAGTTAGTCAAAAGGATGGGAGTAATGAAGAAATGCTCTATTTGTGTTCATTAGACACATAAAAGTGTTTGTTTGGCTAAAGAGCTACGTATTGATTTTTTGTTTTTTGTTTTTAAAGACCAGTGTATGCTATTTCCTTAACTGCTATCATATAGCAGTCATTCTGGATCTACGAACATGCGGAAGCTTAATAAATATTATTTGATGATAAGGTTTAATGATCCAGAAATGAACCAACTGTAAAAATGTACATCAAATGATCTAAATTTAAATTGTGGAATGAACAAACTACAGAAAAATATTACTCTGACCCATTTTAAATTAGCAACATTTAATTTTGCTGAAAAAGCCTTGACAAGTATTCACTCTGATTTCACATCTCAACAGTCAAACTATTCATGTCATTATTCCTGCTGAGATATAAACAGTTCAGAACAATGCAAATGGTGACACATCAAATGCCTCCACTTGGGGTTACAAAGCAAATTTCTAAGGAGAATCTAAAGAGAAATTTGAAGATTATAGATCTGAGGCCAAAAAGTCATTTCTTGTTTTCTCCTATATATACCCTATAATAATCTCTGGGTGCAATGGGAAAAAATAAATGGAAAAAGGATTATCTTAACCCAAATGTTTTACATACACATATGCATTATTCTGGATGATGTGTCTGCCATAAAACAGATTCAAATATACCTCAAAGAGTCAAGGTTAAAGTGAGAATTTATCATTCTACTTCACTTGCCATATAACTTATTGGTTAAATAATGTGTTCCATTTCAATTCAACTCCTGTATCGCTTAGAGAATAATACCTCTAGCTTCATATTAAAGTTGATATGAACATTTGAAACTGTATTTATAATAAATAGATGGTTTTAAAAATTATTTACACCTGGTACTTCTCCAAATAGTGCAGCTGTCAGTAGTTTAGCATTCTGCTTGCTAACTACGGTATCCAAAAGTACATACTGAAAAACGAGGTTTCAGTCTATTAAGTGAAAAACGTTTACAGGGGCATCTGTTCTTTATAACTAAAACTAGATATTTCTACTATACCTAAAGAAGTTTTCAACATTTAAATTTTTTTATGGCTTCAAGAGGATACTTATGCCTACACAATTGTAAAAAATGTAAAATACAGATGCCCCTGACTTCTGAGTACTTAGAAGAAATACATATATATATGTATATATAGGTGCATATATGTATATATATATATGTATGTATATAACATATTGAACCAATCTGGGGCCTCAATTATTTAATTTCTCTGTTTAATGACACCATTCATCATATTTCTGTATTTTCATTTCCTGTGGCATAGTTTAAGCAACAAAAGCTTTTTTTCTCCATCTCCAAGCTTCTTGATTGAATGATTTATGCTTCCTCTCTCCAATATAATCTTATAATACTTTATTATATTTTATTCTTAAATTATCACAATGAAATTGACTTTTTTTTCCTTTTAGTATACAGCTCTATGAAATTTAATGCTCTTCTATAGATTCATGTAACTACTATCATAATCACAGTACAGAAAAGTTCTATCTCAAAAAACTCCCCATGCTACCCTTTCATACCCACGCCTCCTCCCAGCCATAAATTCTGGCAACCACTGAGCTACTGTCCATTTCTATAGCCGTGTCTTTTCAGTAATATGGCAATAACATGACAATGGCTTCTTTGATTCAGCATAAGGCCTTTAAGTTTTACCCAAATTGTACGAATCACCAATTCATTCTTCTCTATTGTTGATTAGTATTCCATTATATGAAGGTACAAGAGTTTGTTATCCATTCACTCACTGAAGTGCTTTCCGGTTATGTATAGTATTTGGCAAGTACAAGAGCTACCTATAAGCACAGGTGTATGGGTTTTTACATGAACACAAGTTTTCAATTTATCTAGAGTAGGACTACTGAGTCATATGGTAAGTATATATTTAACTTTGTAAGAAACTACCAAACCATTTTCCAGAGTGGCTATAACATTTCATATTCCCACCAGCAATGGATCAGAGTTCTGGTAGCACTGTATCAGAACTTGTATTAGTATTATTACATCTAGATTATCTAATTTTTAACATACAACTGTTTATAGTATTCCTTTATAATCCATTTTATATTAAGATTGATAGTAATGTACCCTGTTTCATTAATGATATTAGTAATCTGAGTGTTCTTTGTGGTTTTTTTTAAGTGTTAAAGGTTTTCAATCATGTTGATCTTTCTAAACAAACTTTTGGTTTTGTTGATTATTTTTTTATTGTTTTTCTCTTTATGTTTTTTCCACTTGAATCCTTATTATTTCCTTTTCTTCAGCTTTGGGTTTAGTTTGTTCTTTTCATATTCTAACTTGTCTAGGCAGAAAGTTAGGTTATTGATTTGAAATCTTTCCTCTTTATAAACATAGTGTTTAACAGGTGTAAATTGCCATCGAAGTACTGCTTTAGCAGCATCTCATAAATTAGCAAGGAGAGGAAAAAAGTTACACACAGAAAACACATGTAGACTTCTATTATATTTATCTATGTGGTTACCTTTACTGGTATTAGGTTTTTGTTGTTGTTGTTGCTTTCTGTATATGGATTTGAGTTACTATCTTATGTACTTCCATTCCAACCTCAAGGACTTCCTTTAGTGTTTCTTGCAAGGCAGGTGTGCTATTAATAAATTATCTGGTTTTGTTTACCCAAAAATATCTTAATTTCTCCCTTTTTAAAAGGACAGTTGTGCTGGATATAGAATTCTTGGCTGGCCATCTATTGCTTTCAGCACATCATATGTAATATGTTACTTTTCTCTTGCTGCTTTCAACAATCATTCTTTTATGTTTGACTTTCAACAGTGTGACTATAATGTAGCCCAGTGTGGATCTCTTTGAGTTTATCCTACTTGAAATTTATTGAGGTTCTTGGATAAAAAAATCAAACTCTATGGTGACTAACATAACATAATTAAAAAAAAGGCAAAACTACTAAAAAAATCAGTGTTTCATCAAATTAGGGAAGTTTTTGGATATTATTTTTTCAAATACCCTTTCTGACCCTCTCTCTTCCTCCTCTCATTCTGCAGTCAAATGCTCTACCCCTGAGCTATACCCCCACCTCCTCTCATTCTGGAAGTATTGTTGTACATAGGTTGGTATGACGGATGGTGTCCTACACGTCTTTGTGTCTTTGCTCATTTTTTGTCATTCATTCATTCTTTTTTCTTCATGTTCCTCAGAAAATCTCAATTAACTTTTCTTCATGTTCCCTGATTCTTCAGTCAGTTCACATCTGCTGTAAGGTCCTTCTAGTGAAATTTTTATAATTATTGTATTTTCCAAATCCAGAATTTCTTTTTTTTTTTTAAGATTTTATTTATTTATTTGAGAGAGAATGAGAGATAGAGAGCACGAGAGGGAAGAGGGTCAGAGGGAGAAGCAGACTCCCCGCTGAGCAGGGAGCCCGATGTGGGACTCGATCCCGGGACTCCAGGATCATGACCTGAGCCGAAGGCAGTCGCTTAACCAACTGAGCCACCCAGGCGCCCCAAATCCAGAATTTCTATTTGCTTTTTAAAATATACATAATTTATATTTCTATAATGAGGTGCCTTATTTTGTGAGGTATCATTCTCATATTTCAATTCTTTAGACATGATTTTCTTTAGTTTTTTGAACATATTTCAAAGGGCTGACTTACAGTCTCTGTTCAATAAGTCCAAGATATGACCTTTCTTAGAAATAAGTTCTACTACCCTTTTTTGTGTATGGAGCACACTTTGCTGGTTCTTTATGCATTTTATAATTCTTGTAG